GGGTACACTAGTATTAAGACCGTAGTAGTATCCAGACCATAGTAGTATCCATGACTCTTCCTGATGAGGGAAGCAAATATTTTGTTTCAAACACTCTAGTCATGAAGCTTCTTTCCTGCCCAATACAGTGTAATATAACATGTTTCAAAGCTGCAATTCAGGCACCAGAGAATCAGAATAGAAAATGCCAGTGACCCGAATACAGGGCACTCAGATTACTGGCTTAGAACAGAGTACAAGTGTTAGGCAACCAATTGACAGTTGTCTGCAGAAAATAGATAATTTACAAAAGTTGCCTTTGGAAATAATCTACAAAATCACAATGGTTTAACTCAACAGAGATTTACTTCTTTCTTACGTGAAATAAAAATGGGTATTCTTGATGAGCGAGAAGTACTTCTCCAGGCAGTAATTCAGGTACCCCAAGTTTTTCTCAAATTTAGTTCCATTGTCTTTAACATCTAGATTTGAAGAATCTTGTGCTAATCTGAATCAAGCAAGAGGAGGCAAGAACTAGGAGATTTGCTGGCAACATGTTTCTGATGACGAGGCCTCAGGGTGGCACACATTGCACCATGCATGTTGTACATCCGCATGTAATTGAGAGAGGCTGAGAATGTGGTATAGCTGTGCTTCCAGAAAGAGCAGTCAACGGGTTTGGAGGTGAACACATCGTAGATGACTACAGACTACCCTTCTAAAACCATCAGATATGCTTTACAGAAGAAGGTGATGGACCAAAAACTTATCACTGACTCTAGGAACTCTTCCTTCCTCCTCCTCTTGTTAAACTGAAATTGATCAATGAGTGTCTGCTAAACTGTGGTCTTAGTTTTGCAGTTGCTGAATGCTGTCCCATGTCTAACGCAATCTAAATTCCTCACATCTGACAACATTTTGAATAGTGAGAAATTATTGAAATAAAACTTACTTTATCTGATCTTTCCCAGTTTAAGCTCTAAAGTCTTTGGATTACTTTCTCCATGCAGAATAGTCCTCTGGGACTGCCCTCACATTGCAGGGTTTTAATAAAAGCTTAATGGTTTATTTTCACCATAGATTATACTTTTTGTGTGTGTCTATTTCCACATACGGCTGCACTTGCAGTGAGTGTCTGGGAGACTGAGTTTTTGTTTTGTTTTGTTTTGTTTTATTTTGTTTTTCCTAACACCCCAAGAGCTAAAGATACCTGTAGTTTAAGTTTGTGTCATTTTTGGATAGGCAATTTTCTTGATTATTAGTATGATTCTCATTTTTGCTTCTAATAAGACCATATAAGAGGGATATACCCACACTTTGTCTTAGATATTATTTCCAAGCCTGCTTTATTTCTGAAGCCATATCTCATGGTTTCTCATTTTAATGGCAGCTAACTTAAGGCTACCCGTGATACTAGTTTGTGAGTAGGCAGAGGCACTCTATTAATCTGATCTTTGCAACAGACCTGAGTCCTCATCGTCCTCTCCTCCTCAAGATTCTTGTCAGAGTTATCTCTTACTGTTTGGTATCTAAAAGCATTTCCTTTTCCAAAGACTTCATTGCTCAAAATCTCTGGATTTTTTTATGCCTTTCTCACATTTTCCCCCAAACCAACCAATTATTTATTGAAATAGTCACTCCACATAATGCCTTCCTAAAAAAGGACAAATTAAATATCAACACCATTACTCTTTTATAAACCGTTTTCCTCATAACTAAAGGAGTGGCTGTCAGTGTTTTGTTTGTCTTAATGCTAAACAATTTTTCATATTTTAGAAATGTGTTGCAGCGTGACTACCCTCCTGGGCAAATTCGAGATTACCTGTATAAACCTTACAGCTGAAAATGTTAATAATAATAAAAAAACCTGAGTGGCTTATTCATCTCAAGTCCAAATGAAACTGCTTGATCAAGAGATCCAGGTTCTGATGTTCCTTCTTTCTTCTTTTCTTTTCTTTCTTTTTTTTTGAGACACAGTCTCGCTTTGTCTTCCAGGCAGGAGTGCAATGGCATGATCTTGCCTCACTGCAACCTTTGCCTCCCGGATTCAAGTGATTCTCCCGCCTCAGCCTCCCAAGTAGCTGGGACTACAGGCACTCGCCATCATGCCCGGCTGATTTTTGTATTTTTGTAGTGATGGAGTTTCACCATGTTTTGAACTAATTCACTTTTAGGCTCCAAATTTATCTGTATCAAATTAGAAGCAGTAAAGTACGTGGCAGATAACTCTGGCAGGTAATTGGTTATGGACACATGTATCCATAAGGGAGGCTGGGAATCACAGTTCTAGTCGTAAGTCCCAAAAGTGCAAATAGGTTTTGGTGAACACACAGCACCCTCTGCACATTGGAAAAAATACCAGTTTTGAGCATGTGCATATTCATAGAATAATAAGTTTCTACTAAAAGTCCTAAATTCTCTCAGAGGGCCGATATCTCACAAAAGGCTTTTATTAGACATGTGCTTCCTCTACACAGAGTTACTGTACTTGAATTTAAAGTGGCTGTAGAGATGAGTGAGTAATCTAAAATTTGCCTGTTTACATTGCCATATTTAGAGAAATCCAAATTCAGTGAGATGAATAGGAAAGATATGCTCAAGTTAACTGTACTTCAAAATGTATATTGATCTTCTTTCACTTATTTTCAACTAAGCCTACATTTGTCTTCTTAGCATTCTAAGTTAAGGAACCAAAATTACTATCAGTAATGTTGAAAGTGAGATTTAATAGTGTGGCATGGATAGTTACAATAGGAAAAGACTTTTAAGTAATGAGGAAAAAATGTCAGGTAAGACTCAACTTCTCCTTTTTCTTGTATTACATAATCAAGGAAAGCTTTAGTGTCAGCTGTATCAGAAATTCAGTAATACTCACTTTCGGAAGAAAGTGGTATATTGCCATGTGAAGCATTCGAACTGCATAGCTTTCTGGATTCACACAGTAGGAACAATGAATAAGACTACAGAATAGTGAAAGTATAATTCACAAGCAAAATTCTGAGTACTTTGGAAAGACAAATATCTGTATAACTAGTACAGTCTGACAAGAGCTGTTATGAGCTATAGATCAGTTAGAAAGAGCTTAAAGAAAGGAGAGCTACAACATCAGAAATAGCACATATATTTTCCTCAGAGTTAAAGAGCTGTAGAGGTAATCAACATTACATGATAGAGAATCCCTGATACTACTTGTAGTTTGCGTCTGCATTTCATTCAAACTTTGGTTTCTGATATTCCTAATATGTAAAACCACATTTTAGTCTCAAAATAAACAGAATCACTGAATATATTTAAGGGAAATAGAAATGCCTAGTTATGTTTGTACCTAAAATGCTGGGTCTCAAAGTAATAAGATGAATTACACAACAACCTTATTGAATGAAGATTCAGTAGAAATTTCTTATTTTTGGTGTTGCTGCATATTCTGTTTTCACTCCCCCCAAGTTAGAGGTCACAGTAGCACTCTCCTTTTACTTCCTTATTAAAAAGATAAATTACTATCTCATACCACAGATAATATTGTAACTAACTTTATTTTTTAAATCATCAAATACATCTCAAATTGTAATAAGTGTATTGCATATAAGAGGCAGTAAAATGCTAAGCTGCCTTAAATTATTTTAAACTCATAGAAACTATGAAATATTCTAAATTATTATGCCAACAATCATGCCAATTAATCAACATAATTGGATAGCCTCGATTAGGAGAGATAAAATTATAGAAAACATAGAAAATTAGAAATAACTGTAAGTATTCTCTCTCGAGTGGAGAAAATTTTTCATTAGATATTTATGGTGTTCTGGACTCTGTTGACACTACTACTTATTATTGAAGAAAACTTCAGAAATAGGCATGTTTTATTTTCTTAACAGCAGTAAAATGCAGAAATAAAGAACGTAATACATCTACTTCATTTTCCAAGCGGCTTCATCTCAAGACAATTCAGCATCATGTAAATGTAACAGTGATATGCCTCTTCTCAAAACACACTGAGCCTTCTTATCTCTAAAACTGATTCCTTTAAACTTCTTAAGTTTTCACTCTCAGACAAGATGATTAAAGCTAAAGTGATATTAAGTGCTTCTTGGAAACGATCGTATCACTTTCCCTGACCTTCAAATTACACATAACATTTGTCTTTGGCAAAGCTATACGATTGCTCAATGTTGTGGACAGCAAAATTCATCTGGCATTGTTAATAACATCAGCAATGAAATAAAAAGTTAATTGAGCTTACATTTTTTATAACCCCAGGAGAAGTTATAAAACCATGTTAAGAGCTTTAGTATGATGACGGAAAATTTGTGCTGTGGCATACAAGATATGACAAGTCAAACAAAACATATCATTGAAAAGACTATATTAACTCAGCAATATTTTTATTGTATTTTGAATATGTTTTATACTACTGTTAGGAAAAAAAAAAAAACTCCAACTGTTTTCCCTCTGCTCTCACATCACAGCAATCAACACAGAAGATTGATATGACCAGATGTGTAGGGATCTCTCCCTACCAGCAAGCAAGCAGGCAAGCAATTATTCAGCCAACACTAGCTTAGTGCCCTCCATTTCTCTTCTGACTCTGTCCCTCTGGGGATAGCATCAGATTCCACAGGCTGAGTCACACAAGACTGCTCCCGCTTCCAATATCAATCCCAAGCCCCAGATTGTTTAACTCGTGCTTCTAACCAACCGCCTGTAAGTTGGTATTTCCACAACCCCCTCCTTGGGTTTGATAAACTTGTTAGAGCAGCTCACTGAACTCCAGGAAACGGCTTTATTATGAACGATATTACAAAGGGTAGAGATGAAGAGATGCATAGGGAAATGTATGAGGGAAGGTGCACAAAGCTTCCATGTTCTGTCTGGGCGTGCTACCCTCCAGGAACCTCCACGTGTTGTTTTCTGGAAGCTCTTCAAACTCTGTGCTCTTGGGCCTTCTATGGAAATTGCATTCAGTAGGCAGGACTGAAGCATGAACTGTGTACCAATGCAATTGGACAAAGGGATATAATCTACTAGCCGCAGGCTGAGTGGGAAAATCCAGCAAGGTCTGTCTGCGGAGGTTTCCTCTTGGCCTCTGTGCAGCAATCCTTTCTCCACGGTGTGGGGCAGGACCTCCTCTGAAACACAGCTCACACGACCTGTGATCAAACAAGGTAGGTTAGAGAACTTTTTTTATGGCCAGCTCCAAGGTACAAAGGGAGGGGAAGATTTCTACCCTTTGGAGAGAAAGGAGCAGGTAAAAGGAGGACTGGAGAAAGTCAGAAAGAGAAATTCTGTTTTCTGAGGCCCGCTTCTGGGGCCCAAAGTGCCCTGACATTGTAAGAAAAGACTGTAATGAGAGCTTTGAGAGTCATAAGCCGGATGCGTGGATAGAAACATATCTATACATTCTCCATCTCCTAATATCACAATCCAAAAAGGGAAATAAATTGGAACCACAAGAAATAGTGGCAAAAGTTTGGAAAGCTTAAGTCAAAATGTGTTGTTCATAAACACAGTCTGAATAATTTGCACATTTTCTGTTAATGATATGTGTTCAACTATGGTGATATTTTCCAACCAAGATATAATTGGCAATGTCAAAGTCACACACAGATGGGTAAAATGGCCAATGTCTCTGGGAAATCTTGCTAATAAATTTATAGTATCTCTGGTGCGAGATCACTTATATTCAGAAAATAACACTCAAGGAAAAAATAGCCATATTAAAAAAATAATCTCCATGTATTTAGATGTAGATATAAATTTGGGGTGATTTATTTCTTATTAGACACTAATAATATTTTTTAAAACAGAGAATGGCAAATAAGGTAATTTTGCAGTTAACTATGTCCTAAAGAAGAACGGTAGTATTTTTACAAGAAAGATATTACTCATCAAAAAGGCAGGGAAGCCTTCAGACTAAACATTAAGTATGTTTGGAAATAATAGAAATTATTGTTTCTTTTGCCAACATCAACAATCTTTTCAAGTTAATTTATAAAACTGTCATCTCTGTTCACTAATTTTGAATTACTTATGTTACTTATAAATTTGAATACTTATTATATTACTAATGTTTAATTACTTTTGATATACCTATATCACTATTTTGAATTGATCTATAAATGATCTATAAATGACTTTGATTGTGGGTTTTTTTTTTTGACTTATGGGTATTTACTTTTCATTAAGTAATTTTAACATATTGTTAACTAGAAAAATAAGATGAAGAAAGAAACATTTTAAACACAAAATATAAAAGTAATTTAGAGAGCTTCAAAATAATAAAATTTCAGTTTTATGTCTTTCAAGTAAGTTTGCTGTTTTAAAGTTGTTTTTTGTCACATACCTACCTATTCTATTTATAAAAATATGCTATCTTTTATAAACTACAATTTTTAAATATCTGACAGCATTTGTAGGACTTAAAGCTATTAAATATATAAAGAAATAACAGAAATTATTAGAAATATTCAAGGAAAAACTGACGTATTCTTCAAAAATATTTTAATTTTTAAATTCTATGTTAATTGACTTTTGATACGTATTTTACTTTTCCTTCACTTCTTTTCTCAATTCTTAAAAATATCTTTCTTCATAATTTTTGGCAACGTTTTTTTCTACACTTTAATAGCAAACATTGTCATAAAAGTGAAATTCAGCACTAATTAATTTTATGTCTGCAGGCAGAGTGATTTCCTCAGGGAATCAATTTTCATAGAGAGAACTGTGTTGGTACCTGGCAGGATATTCACAGAAATAAAATATTTATTGGCCATTTACTTTGTTTAAGACCTCTTAACAAACCATAACTTATTAAAGCATAAAGTAACATACAAAGTAAATACTTTTAAAATCTGTAAACAACTAATTCCTTTCTTCTTGTGAAGTCTTGTTTAGATCACTAAAGTAATAGCAGATTTTCCCACAACAGTTTTGTGAGTATTGTCTGTTTAACATGAAAACTATAAAAAATTAAAGACAATTGATATATATTTATTCAACTATACCAACTCAGAGGTGATCTGTAATTGTTTTCTGAATAACTTATTAATAATGCTTAGGTGCCTTTGTTGAAATGTATATTTTCTTGCACACAAACAATATGTCAAAATTATTTCTTTTAAAATATACTATGTAAAATTAATATGTTGTTTTTCAGAATTTTAGCATGCACAGAAAGCAAGAACATTGGATTTCTTTATTTGTATAAAGAATTCATTTAAAAATACTTTGTACAACTTCAACACATTGTGTATCTCTGAAGGTACTTTGAGATTTTGCAGTTATAGTATAAATGAGATAAAATGGGAGAGAAAATATTCCCCATGTGCGATTCTTTCTACATTTATTTCCCACATCGATCTCACAAGTGTTTTTATTTTACACTGATTGATATTGAGCACATACCTCAATTTCTATTATCACAAAAACTATCATTATCAACAAGGACTTTAAGAAATATCTAAACATTATTATCCTGGTAGCAATTCTATACTCCATTTTATCCATTAACTTTGTCTAATTAGTAAAGAAATACTTACGGTAAAAACAAATTAATAGTACAGAAAACATACTCCTGTATACAATTATTACAAATATTTTATTTAGTTCCTATAAAGTATATACACAACTGAGATCAATTATATATAACATTATACTCATGTTACTTTATGTCCTAACTTTATATCAGAAAAAGCTTCCCATATTAATAAATTTAAACTACTTTCAAAGAATCTGTGATACCTACTCAACAATGTTTACATGAATAAATATGATTTATGTAAGCATTATCTTACAGATGGACATTTTATTGCTTCCCAAACTTCATAGCGTAATTTTAGTGCTACAGTAATGATGTACATACAGTTGACCCTTGAAAAATGCGAAGGGTTGGGATGCTTAACCCAACAAAGTTGAAAATCTGTGTATACATTTTAAATCTCCAAACACTAAACTAGTAATAGTCAAGTTATGACCAGAAGCCCTACTGATAATATTAACAATTGATTAATACATACTTTGTATGTTATATGCATAATATACTGTATTCGTAAATAAACTAGAGAAAAGAAATTGTCACTAAGAAAATCATAAGAAGGAGAAAATACATTTACTCTTCATTAACTTGAAGTGGATCATCATAAAGGTCATCATCCTTGTTGGACATAGCTTCACATTGAGTGAGCTAAGTAGGAGAAAGGGAGAGAGGAAGGGCTGGTTTTGCTGTAGCTGGGGTGGCAGAAGCTGAAGAAAATTCATGGATAAGTGGACCCTTGAAGTTCAAATCTGTGTTGTTCAAGGGTCAGCTGTATATAAATTTTATTTTCATTTCTTGGAATTTGGTAAGATTGGCTTACCAGGAGGATAATTACTAAATTAATCTTTATAAATCTTTAAAAGTTGTTATCATATGTTGCCAAATTACTTTCCAGAAAATTACACCAACTTACTCTAACAGCAATATATGAGAGTTATAATGTCTTTATCAGGACTGGATATATTTTATTGAAAATACAAACCACATGTTTAATTATTTCTGACACTGTGGCATTCATTATTACTAATTTAAAATACCAGTATATTACATACCTACATCTGTATGTCTACATCAAACCCCATTATTTGTGAATTCCATATTTGCAACTTCTCCAAGATGCATTAAATTTATATGTAATCTCGAAAACCCATACTCACTCATGCTTTCCTGGTTTTTTTTTTTAAGATGCACAGAATAAAAAAAATTCATTCTCTCAATGTGCATGCTCCCAGTTGAGGTTAAACAAAGTAATGCTCTACTTTGTTATTTCATTTTTCATGCTATAAACAAGGATCTTTTTCACAGTCTATTTGGTGCTCTTTGTTGGTGATATGGCTGCTTAAAATGCCTCCCACACCCCAGAATATTGCTAAAAGCTCTGTCTATTGTTCCCAAGAACAAGAAGGCTATGATGTGTCTTACAGAGAAAAATATAGTCAATCTCATTTGACACAGGAGATTGGTTCCAGGACCCCTTGGAATACCCACATCTGGGGATGCTCAAGTTTCTTACATAAAATGGCGTAGTATTTGTATACAAGCTAGGCATATCCTCCTATATACTTCAAATCATCTCTAGGTTACTTACAATAAGTAATATAGTGCAAATGCTATGAAAGTAGTTGTTATACCATATTTTTAATTGCATTATTTTTCTTGTATTATTGTTTTTACCCTAATATTTTCAATACACAGTAGGTTGAATTCACAGATGTGGGACCTGCAAACGTTTGATGTTATGTGTGTTAGGTAAGGTTTGTTCAGGCATGCGTTTTGGTGCTGTTGGCTCATGAGAGTTCGATGTTAATAAATCAGCAACACATCTTAAGTAGGGTGTCTCAACACAGAAACACACATCAAACAAGATTACATAGTGATCAGCTGACGAAAATCTTGTGACCAGAGGCTCACAACAAATTAACCCCATATTTTCTTTGCAAGCAATGATTTAGTGTTTGCTAATGTCTTGTTTGCCACAACGTTATAGAGCATAAATACTGCAAATAACAAAATTTGACTATTGCTAGCTATGCATATATAAACCCAGTCTTCAAAAATAAAGGAGACATTACTCAAGAACTTAAAAGAAAAAAAAAAACCTGACAAACAGAATGGTATGCAGATGATGACGTTTTACCTGCTGTGGACACAGTAGGAACAAAGAGACTTATGTATTAGCACCTATGTGACAGGAAATAAGACTCTGGACTCTGCAAGATGATGGGCTATAAATAAGACTCCTGAATAAACACAGTACTAAACTGCACACAGGAAAAAGTAGCTAGAATGATTCCATTCACCAGCAAGTATAAAAAATAAAGGAATATGTCTCCTTCAAACTTGATTGAAAATGAACTAATGATAACAACAACAATAAGGCTCTCTGATAATTAATGAACTTTGGCCTATCATAACCCAGTGTTCAAATTTACATTGCCTTCAAAGACAGGGTAACTCCAGCGTAGACATTTATGGTAAGATGGTACATAGCCTGAAGCATCTGACAGCAGTAGAAGCAAAACCTCTTTGGTGTAAACACCCAAAATACAGGCTTTGAAACATTCCCACAAACAAAGCCATATAACATAAACATATTGAAAGACATGGGATTAGCAATTAACTATAAGAATA